ATTCCTCGGTCCATTTGAAGGCTGCTTCCTGGCGAAGAAGCCTGAAGAAGGGGAGGGCATGTTGAGCGGATCTCGCAACGAAACGGGATAACGAGGTGAGAATGTCGTTCAGGACTTGTATAGATTTCTTCAATGTAGGCGTGGGGAGTTTGGAGAAAGCCCGACATTTTTCGGGGTTGGCTTCGATTCCTCATTCTGTCAAGTAGAAGCCGGGGAATTTCCCTGCCTTGACCCTGAATGTGCACTTCTCAGGGTTAAATCTCATTATGCATTGCCTTGCTTGAGCAAAGACTTCCCTGAGGTGAGCGGCATGGTCGGTGTCTGCTCGGGATTTGACAATCATGTCGTCCATGTATACCTCGAGCATATCCCCGATTTGGTTATGGAATACTTTGTTCATCATCCATTGATACGTTGCTCCTGCATTTTTCATACCAAAGGGCATTACATTGTAGTAATAGTTGCCCGAGCTGGTTATGAAAGCGGTGCAGTTCTTGTCGCTTACTACTATTGGGATTTGGTTATAGCCTGAATAGGCGTCCAGAAACGACATTATTTTATAACCGACCGAGTTGTCGACCAGCATATCTATGTTAGGTAAAGGAAATACATCTTTCGGGCATGCCCGGTTAAGATCGGTATAATCAACGCACATTCGCCACATTCCATTATTTTTCTTGACAAGTACAACATTTGACAACCAGGTTAAATACCGGGCTTCAGAAATAAAATTTTCCTCTAGGAGGTCTCTTACAGCTTTTTCAGCAGCCTCCGTTTTCTCCGGAGACTGCCTACGTCTACATTGTACTACTGCCCTAGCGGATGGATCTATGGCGAGAAGGTGACAGGCAACATCGGGGTCGAGTCCGAGCATCTCCGCAGCGCTCCACGCGAACAGGTCCGCGTTCTCGCGCAAGCAAGCTTTGATTTGCTTCCTTTCCAAGTCAGGGAGTCCGATGCCAATCTTCACTCCTCTGCTTGGGTCCTCACCAAGGGGGACGAGTTCGAAGTCCCCATCTGGAATTGGTCGAAGGGGGACTTGCTCGCCGCTAGGAGGCTCATCCTGGTCGAAGCGGGTGTCCAGGGATATTGAGTCGACCTTTAGAGGGGTTCTCTGCTCTTCCGCCTTGACGGGCTCTGACATGTGAGGCTCTGGTCACGTTGTTGCAGCTCTCTTAGTGGGCCTTGTGCTAGTGTCCACCGTATCGCGTCCCTTGGATGCTGCGTTGAAACACCTTCGGGCTGTTGCTAGATCCCCTTGGATGGTGGCGACCCGTGCCCTCTTGGTGTAAAACTTCATTTTTAGATGAATGGTGGAGGGTACTGCGGTCAGCTCCGCCAATGTCGGCCTTCCCATAATGCAGTTGTAGAGGGACAGGCAATCAATGACGAGGAAGTGAACCTTGACTTGCCCCGTTTCTGTATCCTCACCAAACGTGACCATGAGATCTACGTATCCCCGGGGCTTGGAAGTTGAGCCATTAAAGCCTTGCGGGTCTGACCCCATGTAAGGTGAGAGGTGAGAGTCGTCGAGCTGCAGGGTTTGGAACAGTTGGTTGTACATTACGTCGACGGAACTTCCTTTATCGACGAGGACGTGGTGTACGTCAAATTTGGCCATTCTCGCTCTTATCAGCAGAGGAATGACCGAATTGGGGGCCCCTCCGGGGAGCTCTTCGAGATAGAAGGTGATTGGTTCCGACCTCCCCCTCACTTTTTCAAAAGTCACCTTTTGAGGGGGGGGGGGGGGGGCGTGTCGACCAACTCGTCCAGCTTCCTCTTAGATGAATTTATGGTCAGATCATTGAACCCTCCACCATTGATGACCATGGCAGAGAGAAAGTACTCTCACCTGTTGTGCATCGACAGTGGTTCTTGGATGTGGTCGGGGACGTAGAAGTCCTCGGGTCTTGTGATGGAGAAGGCGATTTAGATGGGAACTAACACGTTAGATGGTTGTGCATCCTCTTCTGCTTCCCTCGTCTCGCGGGCGTCGCGACGAGGAGTGTCATTTCGCCGGTACTGGGCGAGTATCCCCCTTTTTTGAGGGTCTTGATGGCGTCTTTGAGGTGGACGTAGTCTTCAGTCAGATGGCCATGGCTCCAATGGTATTGACAGTATTTGCTCTTGTCCACCCCGGGTTTGGCAAGAGCTGGTCGGGGATGTTTAACGCCGTCATCTTTGAAGTCCGTACTCGCACACTCCGCTAATATGCGCTCGCGGGAAGCCGTGAGTGGAGTGTATTCTGTTAAACACCCCGAAGGCCCCCTCTACTCTCGGGTGTCCCGGGGTTTGTCGTCTTTTCTTTTTTCCATGGTTTATTGAGGAGGGACGGCCTCTTGGCGCAAATTGTTGTTGGATCCGCGATTCTTGGGGTCTCGGGCTCTGTTGGCCGCTTCCCTCTCCTCGTAGTCCATGTAGGCCCTGGCCTTCTCGAGGAGAGCATCAAACGTTCGGGGTGGTTCGATGCCCACGACTTTCCTGAATTCTATACCGGGGAGGAGGCCCCTCTCCAGCAGGTATCTCTTCATATGGTCCGTGCAAGGGACCTGGATGGCTTCCCGGTTGAAGCGGTTTATGAATTCTCTTAAGGTCTCATCCTGCCTCTGGACGATGGCCTCGAGCGCCGCTTCGGTCTTCGAATGTCGCTGCGACGCACTGAATGAGCTTATGAACTGGTTCTTCAAGTTTCTCCACGAGGTAATTGACCCCGGGGCGAGACCCTTGTACCAGTCCATAGCTGCTTTCCTCAGGGTCGTGGGGAACAACCGGCATTTGATTGGTCCCTCGATGTTGTGGTAGTGCAGCATGGCCTCGAACCCGTCTATGTGATCGACCGGGTCGAAGACTCCATCATACTCTTTCAGGTGTGGAGGCTCCTCCATGCCCGGGGGAATGGGCGCCTCCATGATAGCTTGTGATAAGGGACCACGGGGGTCGTCCTCATCACTCCATTCCAGAGAGCGGGACGGGGACTTGATGTATTGTCGGTCACGGTGGCTCTGGTCGTGGTGGACATTCCTCGAGCAATGTGTTTGTTGATAGGTTCCTCCGTGTCTGTCTCCAGGAGGTCTTCATTCTTGCCGTGAAGGGCGTGGTCGCGCCTTCTGGTCTCGATGAGTGGTTCTCTCTCCAAGGCGGGTCGCCGCCCGGGTGGTCGGGGCGACGGGCTTCGAGAGATGTCCCGATCCTGTCTCAGCGGGGGAGATCGAGGACGTTCCTCCATTCTTCGAGGAGGTGGAGATTGAGGCCTCCTGTGTCTCCTCGGGGGCCTTCAGTCGTCCTCAAGTGCTCTCAGTCTTTCCCCTTGGGCAAAGATGAGATAGTTGGTCTGGTTGATTGGCGCGAATAGTGCCCTGGTCGTGGCGTCTGCCCCGGCGGGGACAAGAACCTCATGGAATTGGGCGGCTAGATAATTCGGGGGAACTGGATTATCTTCTTCAAGCCGAGGAGGGACTGATGAAGACGAGGCCGTGGCTCCATCCCGGTAGTTGGAGATTCCGGGGATGTTGCCGCCGGGGGCAGTGATATGGGCAGTGACGCCGACGTTGTTGGGGCCGACATTGTTGTCGACGAGGTTGTTGTAGGCCTCGATGACGCGGGCGTTCTGGTTGTCCTGAGTCTGGTCAGCCATGACAGTCGAAGATGGTTTTAGCTTTGGTCTTTGTAAGTTTGTAAGACGGGGAAGCTTAGTTTCCCACAGACAGCGCCACTAATCTTACCTGATCAAAGTTGGACCGTCGTAGCTGGTTTGAACTGGATTTGAAGGAGATGGGGAGGGTACCTGCAAGACACTTCGATGACAAAGTTAGAGACGGAATGAGCAGGCAAATTGTATGTAGGTCTGAATGAATGAATACCTGACCCTCTTGAAATAGAGGGTATTTATAGCCCCAGCGCTGGACCAAGGTCTCTTTATTGGGATGACTAAAACGGCCCAACAAAAGGGACTGCCAGGTTCTATGTGAGTAGTGGGGACCTGCATGTGGTCCCCTACTTGGATAATGCTCTCCGCAGAATAGGGAGGGTGAAGACGCGATCTTCTCGGGACCCTGAGGACTCCGAAATATCTGGAGGGGTCGAATGTCTGCCCTACGAGGAGGGTACTCGAGCAAGGCTTGGATTGGGATGTTCCTCGTCTGGGGCGTCTCTCGTCGGGGACGTCTCTCGTCGCAGGCACCGACGGACATGGTCGTATTCGACCTATAGCCCATGATCGGGTATGCTCGGAGGATCTAATGCCCAACATAGCACGTGACAAGACTTGGATTGGACCTTACTGGTGATTTGGGCCATAGGCAGGCCCAGTCCAGAACACTTATCAAATAAAAAGTTGAATTTAATAGACATAGGTGTAAAGAAATTTTACATAATTATCTAATTGGAAATCACTGATTTATCAAATTATCAAATTTATTTTAAATTATTAACATGATATTATAGGATGTATGTCGTTTATTGTTTAGTAATATATATAGATTTTTTACACGGTCATTGTATCACTTATTTTTTCTAAAAAAATTTAAATATCGTCAAATTTTTTTAAACATTCAAATAAATTACATTAAATAAATATTTATTATCATATTTTTAAAATTAATCTAAAATAACAGTATTACAACGTGATTTGATTGAATGAATCTAAAAAAATTATTTTTCATACAAAAGTTAAACACAATCTAGAAAATAAATGAATAATACTATATTGATAAAGAAATAAATTAAATAATAGATATTCCTTATTTATTTTCAAATGTTAAAGTTTTTTTTTAATCTTATTTAATTTTCCCTTTATATCTTTTATGGGTTTTTTAATTTTAAATATTTGTTTCTTTGATTTTCTCAAATTAAAGGAGCAAAGTTGTTGAAAATTTTAAATTCCACCTTGTAAATAGAGATTAAATAGCATATAAAACCGCCTTTCAAAAAAACTAATCAGAAACCCTAACCCTATAAATAAGAATATCTCTTTACTCTTCACATCACAGTTCACACAAATCATGGCGACTAATCGTTTTCATCCCTTTTTTACAAACGTTGGTTCAGTGTCCTCATGGTTCGAGATTTATGCTGCCTTTTCCACATTCATGATGATTTTCAGAACTGCAACCAACGATCTCATACCCTTAAAACTTCGAAACTTCATCATCTCAAAGCTACAAGATTTCTTCTCAGATTATCGACCCGGTAATGAAGTTTCACTTCACATCGATCAGACTTGGGATGGAAAAACCAACAATCTCTTCTATGCAGCCAAAGAGTATCTCCCAACTAAAATATCCAACAATTACAAATCCCTCAAAGTTGGCATGATATCTAATCATAACAACTTACTCTTAGCTATTGATGAAAAACAACAAGTGTTGGATGAATTTGAAGGCATCCAGGTTAAATGGATGCTTATTCAAAAACCCGGTAAAGAGGTTTCTCAAAGTTCTAATAATCCCGTTAAAGGAGTATATGATCAAGGTAATAAGCAAAAAAAATCTGAAGATAATGGATTTGTGTTAAGGTTTGATGAGAAACATAGAAATAAAATAATGGAGAAATATATTCCACATGTTTTAAGCACTTATGAAGCTATAAGAGCCGGAAACAGAACTCTCAAGATCCATTCCATGCGAGATGGGAATGGGTTTTGGAAATCCAGTGATTTTAATCATCCTGCTTCATTTGATTCACTTGCTTTGCATCCTGATCTAAAGAAATCTGTAATTGATGATATAGATAGGTTTTTGAGGAGGAAAAAGCTTTACCAAAAAGTGGGCAAGCCTTGGAAACGTGGTTACCTATTGTATGGGCCACCAGGAACAGGAAAATCTAGTCTTATTGCTGCTATAGCAAAGTACTTAAAATTTGATGTATATGATTTGGATCTAGGTTTGGTGTACTCTAACTTACAGCTCATGACATTGATGAGGGGAACATCTAACAGATCCATCATTGTTGTTGAAGACATTGACTGCAACAAAGAGGTGCTTAATCGATCAGACCCCGGGGCTCAGGTTTGTTGTTTTTCTTTTGTCCATTATCTTATTTATTTTTCTTTGGTATGGCACCAACATTCGGTGTTATGACATATTTTTTAATAATAACGTTTGCTTTTTTTAAGGTTAATATGGCACAGGCATATCAGGGGGCATATCCGGGTTATCAGGGGGCATATCCGGGTTTTGAACAAGCTGATAGAAAAACGTTTACTATGTCGGGTCTTCTTAATTGTATGGATGGTTTGTGGTCAAGTTTTGGAGATGAACGCATTTTTATATTTACTACAAATCATAAAGACAAAGTTGATTCAGCATTGTTGCGTCCTGGTCGAATGGATATGCATATTCACCTCTCCTTCCTTGAAACCAAGGCATTCAAAATCTTAGCTTCTAACTACTTGGACATTGAAGAACAACATCACTCACTCATTGAACAAGTTGAAGAGCTGTTGGAAAAAGTTGATGTCACCCCTGCTGTAGTGGCTGAACATTTGTTGAGAAATGAGGATGCTAAGGTTGCTCTAGATGGACTTATTGAATTTCTTTATGAAATTTTAAAAGAGAATCAGGAATAATGTTTGGAATTTTATTTGACTCGTTATTTCACATCTTGTAATGATTGTCATTAGATACTCTAAATTTTATGCTTTCAACTTTTTTATTTAGTTAAAAATATTAATTTAATATATTTAAGTCTTTTAGTATAATTTTTGTTTAATGGTTTCACTCAAAAGTTAATCATATTTTTCAATATATTTTATATTTATTTTTGGGTAATGTCTAAAATAAAGTATTAATCATATAGTTCACCGTTGAACCACCTTAGAGAAACCTTTAAATATAACCAACGATTTAGATTAAATGAAAATAAAAATTGTGTAATTTCACACACAATCATGTTCCATCTCTTCTCCATTTTGTTTTCTCCAACTAAAAAAAATCTGCCGAAGATGATTGTAAGTCCAAACAATAATAGATTTAGTTTAAGAAATAAATGTATTTTCAATCTCAAACATATCTTAGAAAAGTTAATTGGAAATTGACGCAACCATGCATCATGAAGAATTCTTGTATAATAATCTTAAAAAAGTTAATTGGAAGATCGGTTTCGTGGACTGCTTCTGGTGTTTTTTGTGTTTTGAGTACTTTGACGTTGCTCGAAGGGGTGCTTCGGTTAGTGGTGATTAAAGAGAGTCCGATTAGTTTTCGGATTCATAACAGGTGGTTTAGGAAGTTGGGTCATGATGTGAAACTGATGTTGTGTTTTTGTATAATGATGTAGTTTTCGGATTCATAACAAGTGGTTTAGGAAGTTTTTGGATTTTTTCTCAACAAATGATATAGTTAATGATTTATCATGCTTCTTGATATAATAGAAGAGATGCTAATGATTTATCATACTCGTTTAACTTTTCTTTCATCACTGTAAGTGAGCTTTGCTCCATTTTCATTCTTGATACAAACAAATTTTCCATTATGAATTCACAGGTTCCATCATAATACATATTCATGTTTGTATTATGTAAGCATATGAGATATATATTGTTTGCAGTTACTAACTTGCAGGTATCAATATCTTCATCTAAGAAGGCAACAAATGAAAACAGAGGATGATGTCAAAAGGTGTTGCTAATACATGTATTGCAGCTATTTCTATGGATCTTGATGACCCTAATGAGCTCCTTAAAACAGTATTTTAAACTTAAAAATAAAAATAAAAAACATTTATTCAACCCGGCCTGCCACGTCATCGATCGTTAGTGGTATTTAACGTCAAAGACCAATTGGGTGAATAGAAAATTTTATAGGGATCATTCTTTGAACGAAAATTTAAAAGGAACTAAAAAGTAAAAATCATTATATTTATAGGGACCAATAACATATTTAACCCTTAAAATTTTAATTTCTTTTTTAGTTAGATTTATGGGAGGATTGTGATTATGAAAGAGAGAGAAAATATTATATTTATTTTTTAATTAATTAAAATTTTGTGATTGATTGTGTATAATACTACTTCTTATGTCTAAGAATTTTTATAGGTTTATTTTTTCATTCACAAAATAATAATAATATGTGATTGCTTTAATTTTTCCTTAAAAAAATTAAGGAAGCATGGTGCTCCTAAGTGTATGTTGCAAATTGATATTCATAAAGCTTATGATATAGTGCATTGGAATGCTTTGGAGTACATCCTCAAGGAATTTGATTTCCCTTGGCAGTTTATTAATTGGATAATGACCACTGTGAAAACTGTGAACTGTGTGTTTAATGTCAATGGAAAGAACACTAAGAGGATGGTTGCTAGGAGAGGAATCAGGCAAGGGCATCCCATATCCCATTTGTTGTTTATTCTGGTTATGGAATACCTAAACAGAATTCTGAACCAGCTTGACAAAATCTCAAATTTTAACTATCACATCAAGTGTGAAAAGTTGAAAATCATTAATCTGTGTTTTGCTGATGACTTATTATTGTTTGCTAGAGGTGATGTAAGGTCTGTTATCATTATGATGGATATTTTCAACAACTTCCTCAGACCAATGGGCTTAGAGTTAATCCTAATAAGTGTCATATTTACTATGGTGCAGTGGAGAGCAGTATTAAGAAGGAGTTATTGAAAATTACTGAGTTTAAGGAGGGGAAGGTGCCCTTTAGATATATTGGGATCCCTTTATCTAGTAAGAAGCTTAACATCAAGCACTATCATCTTCTCATTGATAAAATTGTAGGCGGAATTACACATTGGAGTGCTTGCTTTCTTTCTTATGCGGGGAGAGTCCAACTTATTCAAAGTGTTATTTTTGCCACTGTCAATTTCTGGATGCAGTGTCTACTGTTGCCTAAAGTTATGATTCTGAAAAATCAATGTTATTTATACGAGCTTCTTATGGACTGGCGATGAATTGTTCCAGGAAATCTCCTTTAGCTTGGGAGAGAGTTTGTCGTCCCAAGTCTAATGGAGGCCTGAACATTGTCAATTTGAGTGTCTTGAATCGTGTGAGTATCCTGAAGCTTCTTTGAAATGTGTGCCAGAAGTCTGACAATCTCTAGATTAAGTGGCTTCACACATATTGCATTAAAAATCAATTTTTCTGGAATATTCCTGCTAAAGAAAGCCACTCTTGGATTCTAAAAAACATGTTGAAGCTTAAGCATATCTATCAGCAGTTCCAGCATCTTATGTAGGTGAATTTCAGAATGAAAAACATTTATCTGGCAATGATTAGCAGTACTAAGAAAGTTAGCTGGAGGAAGCTTTTTTCAACAACTTAGTCAGGCCCTGTGCGCAACTCACTTTGTGGCAGGCGTGCAGTGGTAGGCTTGCTACCAAGGATCGTATGTTTAAGTTTGGTTTGCTGGCTGATGTGAAGTGCAAGTTTTGTCCAAATCCTGAATCTCACAACCACCTTTTCTTTGGGTGTAGTGTCATGAAAAAAATTTGGCTTTTTGTTCTCAATTGGTTGCAAGTCTGTCATACTCCTGGAGACTGGCTTGATGAACTGAATTGGATTACTCACTACTACAAGGGCAAAGGTTGGAGAATTTCTTTACTTAAGTGTGCAATTACAGAAATGATCTATTATACTTGGAATTATAGGAATGACAAGATTTTTTGGAAAGGATGTAAATAATAGAAACATAGATCATGTGATTATCGATACGATAATCTATAGAGTGTGGGCTAACAAGATGTATAGGAAGAATTTAGCATCTTTTATGTTGTAGGTCTTATTGGTGTTTTTGTTTGTTTTTGTTTTTGTTTAGTCTCTTGGACCGGTGTGGCTGGATCGTGAGAGATCGCCTGGTATTTCTTTTCAGTTTTTTGAATAATCAAATCTTTTTTATTCAAATTTTGTTTCCTTAATCTTGTCATGAACACAAGGTTCTTAGATAGTAACTCTTATAAATCTTGGCACGAAAAAGGCTTTAATTAAAGTTTTGATGCATACACAATTTTGGCGAAAGCAACCGTTGCAAGGGGTAGAAAAGTGTGAAAATCTATTTATTCTAGCCTTGCGAAGAAGATGATGAAGATGCAAAATTTAAGGTCTGACATGCAAATTAGGACTTTCACCTTAATTGCAATTTAACTGTCAAATTCAACCTGTAAATGAGCACTTCATCATAACACTGTCGATATTCTTTTTTCACATTTTTTTATACCACTGTAAATCTCTTTCCTCTTTGTGATTACCATTGTTTTTTTGTTCATAATTGTTGTTGATGTTAGAGCTTCCGTTCACATGTTAATTTTTTTGTTGAGTCATTAAAAGCTGTGAGAGCAAGGAAAATCATGAGAACCGAATACGAGATTAAGAGTTGAGAAACCGTGTGAGAGCGAAGTAGATTTGAGTGTTGTTGTTTGTCTCAATCTAAGCTGATGGAGATGAAGAGTTATTGTTTGATTATGAGAAACTGAAAGGGATTGGAGAATTAAGGGTTAAAGGTACAGTCTTTCACGATTAAGAGCATAGAGCGATTTTGTGAAGTAGAGAAACAATGAGAATGTTGTTTTTGTTCTGTTGAGAAATCAAAAGAATAGAGAATTGATCATGAGATAAGAAGAGAAAAACGGTATAGAGAGAAAGAGAGTTTTACGTTTAGGAAAAATCAGTGAGGAAAAACAGAGAAAATAGATCGTGAGGTTTAAGAGAGAGTTTTGATTTGTTTGGCTTTAATTTAGATTTTATTGAAAATTAGGGAATTAATTGGTAATTAATTGAAATAAAATTGGACCAAGTCCCCAACTAATTGAGTATCAAACGACGCCTCTTTTACCATTAGAGTTTCAAAACCCTCCATCCTGCTCTTCTCTAACGAATCTGGGTTTGGGCTTAAGTTTTAAGCCCAACCGGTTTGTTTTTATCTACTTTATGCCATTTGAAGAGTATCCATAATAGAAAAACATTATTGACTTAGTGGCAAGCTAGAATAGTTGTAACCTAGGGAACCTGAGTTTGATCCCTGGTTGTTCCTTTTTATTTTTTATTTCTAACTTTCAAGTTTTTTTAGCCTTATTTCATTAAAATTTCATAAAAAGACAAAAATATTAGATTAAGTTTATAATTGTTTCTTTTTTTTCCTCATAAAAAATTTCCATCAATGTATTAGTTTAATTTTGCCAGTCTTTATTTTAATTAATTTTTAGTTGTTAACTATTTAAATGATTTAAGTCTTATTTGTTTAAAAATATATTAGTTTAATTTTTTCATTCTTTATTTTAATTAATTTTTGGTTGTTAACTATTTAAATGATCTAAGTGCTATTTGTTTAAGTTCTTTTCGATTATTTGATTTTTATATTTTGTTTGTGCCTACTCCAAGGGAAAGAATCAAATTTGTTGACTTCATGTCATCGAATTATCTAATGCGATTGTGCAAAACCCCCTTTCATGCATTTTTTTAAGTTTTTTTTGTTAATCTTAAGTTAAATCTCCTAAAAAAACTCGATTTTTAAACTTACACTCATTTAAGCTAAAACTTCGACACTAGGTTGTCGCATTTTTAAAATCTCATCCCCACACTCATTTAGCAAGCAACCCAATTTTAAACAAAAAACAAATATTTTAAAAGGT